CTTTTCCTAGGAAAAGCTGATGGTTCCTGGAATAACCCTTGTTGGCATTATTGCTATTTTTAAGCAGCTGTAAAATCCCAGGTGTCCTTCGGGTACCAGGAAAACTTGGGAGTTCATAATTCCTTGGAAAGGGAGAATGAACCTGAATGTGCTGTTTGCTGAGCAGGAACCAGCAAAGCCTCATCCAGTGGCAGCATCCCGGCAGGAATGTGAGCCCTGCCAGGCACGGGAGCAACTCGTTCATTAGCGAGTTCAGCGTGATTAGAGTTCAACGTGATTAGAGTTCAGCGTGACTGGAGTTCCTACAGCCCCGAGGAGCAGCTCCCGCCTCCCGTGAGCCAAACAAACAGAGCTGTCCAACGGGGAGAATTTTGGGGATCTGCTCCTGCCTCCCTCCAGCCAAACAGACAGAGCTGTCCAACGGGGAGAATTTTGGGATGAGAGCGTGGCCGGGGTGGGGAGACGGGCAGGGAGGGACATGGACGCCGAGCTCCTGCCGCGGGAATTCGGCTCTGCCTGGTGAGTCCTTCACCCCCAGAGCTTCCCCGGCTGCAGGAGCAGCCCCTGGAGGTTGGGAAGGTTCTCCCTCCCGAGGGAATTGGGCGCAGGCACGGAGAATAACCCCGTGGGTTATTCCAATCTGGGATTGGATCCGTTGGGTGCAGTGTGGTGCTCCAGGGGGGTGGGTTTGGTCCTTTCACTCAAGGGTTGGACTGGATGGTCCCGGTGGGTCCTTCCAGACGGGAATGTTCTACGGTCTGGGCCAGAGGTTGGATGTGATGTGTGAGAGGGGCAGAGGCTGCAGGGATAGACACCTAGGAATTCTGCAGGGATGGACACCCAGGAATTCTGCAGGGATGGACACCCAGGAATTCCGCAGGGATGGAGAGGAATTCTGTAGGTATTTCACCCAGGAATTCTGCAGGATTTCACCCCGGAATTCCCAGGGATTTCTCCCGGCACTCGGCAGTACTCACGGAGGATCTCCCTGATGAGCACGGGCTGCTCCAGCGTGGCCGGGGCGCTGGATCCGCCGGCTCCCACGGCCATCACCCGCACATGGATCTTGTCCCCGGAGCTGAGGTTTGGGATCGTGTAGCGGGTGGAAAGGAAAGGCTCCTGGTTCACAGCTTTCCACTCAGAACCTGGGATGGACCCAGCACAGAACTTCAGGTGTGCCAGGGACAGACAGACAGACAGACACCCCCCCAGACAGCAGGAGCCCCCCAGGAGTGATACAGAGAACCCCTTCCTGGGAAAGATGGAATGATTTGGGGCAGCAGCGGGAAAAGGGACCTTAGATGGGAGGTCGGGCACCCTCTGCCAAGGAGTGTGGGGGGGTGAAGAGCTGGGTGTGAAGTGTTGGGGATGAAGTGTTGGGTATGAAGTCCTGGGTAAGTCCTGGGTATGAAGAGCTGGGTATGAAGTGTTGGGTTATGAATTGCAGGGTATGAAGAGCTGGGTATGAAGTCCTGAGTAAGTCCTGGGTATGAAGAGCTGGGTATGAAGCACTGGTTTATGAAGTGTTGGGTTATGAAGTTCGGGGTATGAAGTGTTGGGTAAGTCCTGGGTATGAAGTGCTGGGTAAGAAGAGCTGGATATGAAGTGCTGGGTATGAAGAGCTGCGTATGAAATGCTGGGGTATGAAGAGCTGAGTATGAAGTGTTGGGAATTAAGTTCTGGGATATGAAGTGTTGGGATATGAACTGCTGGGGTATGAAGTGTTGGGTATGAAGGGCTGGGTATGAAGTCCTGGTTTATGAAGCGTTGGGTTATGAAGTTCGGGTTATGAAGTGTTGGAGTGTGAAGTGTTGGGTAAGTCCTGGGTATGAAGTTCTGGCTATGAAATGTTGGGTTATGAATTGCTGAGTATAAATTGCTGGGTAAGAAAAGCTGGATATGAAGTGTTGGGTCTGAAGAGCTGCTTATGAAATGCTGGGGTATGAAGTGCTGAGTATGAAGTGTTGGGGATGAAGTTCTGGGATGTGAAGTGTTGGGTATGGAGAGCTGGGTATGAAGTCCATGTATGAAGTCCTGAGTATGAAGAGCTGGGTATGAAGTGTTAGGGTGTGAAGTGTTGGGTAAGTCCTGGATATGAAGAGCTGGTAATGAAGTCCTGGTTTATGAAGTGTTGGGTTATGAAGTTCTGGGTATGAAGTGTTGGGGCATGAAGTGTTGGGTAAGTCCTGGGTATGAAGTGTTGGGTAAGAAGTGCTGGCTATGAAGTGCCGGGTATGAAGTACTGGGTTATGAATTGCTGGGTATGAAGAGCTGGAAATGAAGTTCAGAGTATGAAGAGCTGGTAGAAGCTCAGCAGTGGAGCAGGAGGTTGTTTGCAGACATGAAAAGGCATCACGGTCCAGCAAACCTGATCCTTGCTGACCACAGGCATTTCTGAAAGCAAAAATCCTTTGACCCTCTCCTGCCAGTCTGCCCCTCTCACTGCCCCAGGGCAACACTGGGGCTCCCCATGTTCCCCAGCATGTCCTACCCTCCAGGCAAGATGCCACCAGCCCCATGGACCTGTCCATGCCAAGCCACCTTCAAAACAAGGAGGTTTTCCTATCACTGCCAAATCCCACCAGGGGCTCTTTCCCTTCACCACTGGCTTCCTGCTTGGAAGGGGCATCTCAAACCCACCCCACAGCCAAGGGGTAGAACCCCCCCAACCCCCAGCTGACACAGCTTTGCCTCGTGCCAAACCTCTGAGGAGGTTCCTCAGCTGGAAAACGAACTGCCCCAGTCACCAGAGGCCTGGGTGTCCCTAAAGAGACCTCCGTGTGCCAGGGGTTGCTCCTTCAGAGCAGGAAGGTTTTCCCTGTCAATGCCATCAGAGCAGCCAAATCCCCCCAGCTCCTCTTTCCCCTCACGGCTGGCAGTGCCCAGCCCAGCCCTCACTCAAACCTCACCAGGTTTTACCCACCCAGGGCCATGCCCCAGCCCAAGCACGGCAGTCACAGAGTCCCCATGGTGGTCACAGCGTGGCTGGAGCTCTCCTGCCACCCAGGCAGGCCCAGCAGAGCTCCCAAACTGTGCCCTCTGGGTGGCTGCCACCCAGCTCCCTCCAGGAACTGCTGCACCTTTGCCTGTGCCACAGAAGGGCCTGCTCGTGGCTGTCCCCTGTCCCCAGCCCAGTGATGGGAGCCAAGAATGTGCCAAGAACGTGCTGACCATGTGTGCCACGAGCTGAACAGCCAAGGATCGAGTTCCCTGAGGCCCTCGGACCACCTGGGTCCCCCAAACCCCTCCGGGTTCCTGCAGCCCCAGCCCACCAGCCCCAGCCTCCCCCTGCAGATCCCACCAGACACGTGGGCAGGCTGGTCCCTCCTCCACCCTTCAGCTGGACACAGCAGTGACATTAAACCCCCTGCCAGAGACATCCCAACTATCTGAAGCCAACAGGAAGCCCCACTTCTCCATGGGAAAAAAAATAAAATAACAATTTAAAATGAACCAATTCGGGCAAAGAAAGGGAGTTGGTGCCCTGGGAAACGCGTGTTCAGCTCCACCCCACAGCCGCACAACACACCCCACCCCTCTGTGCTTAGGGGCAGGAAAGCCCGGTCCTACTTCCATCCTTGCAGATCTCCACCACGTATCCATCCAGGCCCGCCTTGCCCGTGTGCTCCGGGGCTTTCCAGGTCAGCGTGAAGGAATTCTCACTCACCTCCTCCACGGCCAAGGACAGGGGGGAGCTGGGAGGCTCTGGAACAAACCGGGGGGTGAGGGCAGGCTCTGCCCCAGGACAGTCCCTCACCCTCAGCCCACCCACCCTCCTGATCCTCAGCAAAACCCCCTGGATGGTTTCACCCCTCCGTCCCCTCACCCCGGCACCCCCCCCCCCAGCCCCTCCAAGCTCTGCTCCGCTCCAGGGTCCCGTCCCGTCCTCACCTTCCGTTGGTTTCTCGGGCTGGGGTTCAGGTTCGGGGGCCGGGGGTTCGGCTGGGGGGGCTGGGGAACCTTCTGCGGGGGCTGGAGGGGCTTCTGCTCCGGCTTCGGGGGGGGTGGGAGCGGCTTCTGCGGAGGCTGGGGGCTCTTCAGCAGCGGGGGCTGGGGCCGCTTCTTCTTTAGGGGTCGCTTCTTCTTTAGGAGTTGCTTCTTCCTTGGGGGCCGGGGCTGATTCTTCCTTCGGGGCTGGTTCTTCCTTGGGGGCCGGAGCCGCCTTTTCCTTGGGGGCTGGCGCTGCCTTTTTCTTGGCGGCCGCCGGGGCGGGTTTTTTGGCCGGAGGGGCCGTTTTCCCCGTCATCGCTGCAGAGCCGGGGGCTGGGGGACAGCAGGGTCTGGAGGCTCCGCTCCGGGGGCTCCGCCCTGCTCTGGGGTTCCTGCTCCACACAAAAGGTCTCTGCTCCCACTCCGGCTCCGCGGTGGGATCCCCGCTCAGGTGTGTTCCCTCTGCTCCTGGACGGGGGAACCGGGTCACTGAGCCAGGACAGGGGCTGCGGTGACTTTTATAGGCTTGGGCTGGCACTTGTCACCTCCCTGCAAACCAATCTGCCGCTTGTCACCCCCCTGCAAACCAATCTGCCCGTGCGGGCGGGCCGGGACAGGAATAGCCACCCAGGACCTGCACATTCAGCAGCCCCCGCCGCCCCTTCCTATGGGATGGCAGCACATGGGCCCGGCCTCCCCCCCCCCCGGGCTCTCACAGGACCGGGTCACCTTTCTTTGGGGACATGGCTCCTGTCTCCAGCACTCCTCTAGCTTGGGGCTTACCCAAGCCCCACTTGCAGCCCCTCAGCCACCTGCTGCCCCCCATGTCCCCTCTCAGCTTCTCCAGGGACCCCTGGACCCCTCGTGCCTTCCCCAGCCTCTGCACTGACCCCATACTCCCCCAGCCCCGTTAATCCTGCACTGACCCAACTCACCCACTTCCCATCCCGTTCTCCCACAGCCCCTGGAACCCCAGAGCCCTCTGCTCCCTCCGTCCTCCCCCCACCCTCAATCCTACAATTTCTGGGGTTGGAACACAACCCTTGGGATCATTTGGCCCAACCCATGTAGCTGTCCCCACGCTCCACCCACGTTCCTGGAGAACATCAATCCCTCCCCAGCCCTGTGCCATGTCCTCCAGGCTCTGCCCTGCCTATCCCACTAGGACCTTGGCCACGGAGCCTGATCCCCTCAGAACTCATGACCAGCCACCCTCCTGTCACCCCCCAACCCAAATTCACCCCAAATCCCCCCACTGAGCCAGGAAAGCCCCTTAATCCTACAGGACACAACCCCTCACCCTCTGCCTGCTCATGTTTCCCTCCCTTCCCATGTATGAGATACTCCTAAAGATGTCTCTGCATCCCTGTCCTTCCTCAAATCTGGGCTGACAGAGTGTTTTCCCTGTTCCCCAGCTGATTCCCTGTGTGCAGGGAGGCAGCCAAGCAGGCCTGGCTCCCCTGGGTGCTGCTCCAAAGGCTCCTGGTTCCGTGGTCCCCAGGGAACACCCCCAGCCATGGACAGCAGGGTCAAGAGGCACCCCCAGGACAGCCAGAGCATGAGGCCTGTCCTCTGCCAGGGCCAGGTGACCCAGCCTGGCACCGAGGGGTGGCTCTTCAGGGGTGGAGGGGAACTGTGGCCACCCAGGGATGGGAGGGAGAGAAGAAAGAGCAAAGCCCCTCTGGCCAGGCCTGGTCTGTGAAGGGACGTGGGGACATCCCAGAGGAGAGCCCGGGGGATGATGCATCCCAGCTGGAGCAGCAGGACCCTCCTGCTCCAGGGAGGGATGTTTGTCTCTGCCCCGGTTGTTTGACAGCAGGACAAGGCCGGGACAGCCTGAGCTGGTGTCGGTGCCCCAGGGAGGGCCCGTGTCCTCCACAACTATGTGATACCCCAGATGTTCCTCGATTACCTTCCCCGTGAGGAGGAATGTGGCAGTAAAACCTTCCCCTAAATACCCTCGGGATGCCTGAGGGATGAGCTTTCTGAGGCAGGGGGAGGTGACAGGGCACTCCCAGACTCTCCTGCTGCCATGGCCGGGCACGGCAGCTCCTCCTGCCCCCCGGAGCATCCTGGAGAGGCTCGGACTTGCCAAGTGGGTCACAAACCAGAAAATCTTCTGCAGCTGCTCTGGCAAGAGAGGAGACAGTGCTGCTGCCCAGGGCTGGAGGAACCCTTCCATCTGAGCTCCTCCAGTTGCCCTTTGCTCCCAGGTGGGTCTGGCATGGAGGGCACCATGGGAGAAGCTCTGGTTCCTCCACAGTTTGACCTTCAGGGATTCCATCCTGCCTTGACCCCTCCACTTGACTCCTCCACATACTCTGATGACTCTTTCCATAGGTGGCCATTTCCAGACTCCCACAGACATCCATAATCCTCACAAGTCTTCCCTGTGCCTTTCCTGAAGACGATCTCGATGTTTAATCTGCACTGAAAACACTTTGTTGTAAAGAAAAGAAAATGTAGGTTTCTTTTGATGAAGAAAAGCAATTTGAAGAGCTCCGAAAGCAAAATAAATCAATACCACCACTCTGGCTCGTCAGGAAATGAGCACACGGGTTCCTGTCCATGTTCAATCTGGGGGAGCAGGGCTGAGAATGAAATGCTTTCCCCAGGAAAGGAAGAACACCAAGGCAACAATTTCGCTCGATTTGAACAAAACTCTAGGTTTTTTGACCTGCTGGATGACGTTTGGGTGCCGTTCGCTCTGTTGACTCACAGGGTGACTCATAGTTCAAGTGCAAATGAATCAACAGGGTTTTATCACCCCGACTTATCTGGGGCACGTTACTGGAGCCTTTTGGCATCTTGTTTATCCACACAAGACACCTCACACTGAGCAAACTCCAGCAGGGGTTGAGCAAACTCCAGCTGGGAAGCTCTGCTCTCCACGGCAGGGGCACCACGGCAGGTTGGCCAAGCTCAGAGTTGGAGGATTTCAGAGGCACCAGAACAGAGATGAAGGTTCCAGTTCCCACCACCATAGTTTTGCTGGTGGAGACCCAGCAGGGATGGTGATGGGGCGTCTCAGCCCCCGGGTTTGGGTGAGGGACCTCAAACACCCACAGGGACCGTTCACCTCAGAGCTGGGCCTCCATGGTCCTTGTGGGTCCCTTCCAACTCGGAACGTTCTGGGATTCTGACCTGGTGAAAATGAGTCTAGTGGTGGAAATAAAATCCTCCTCCTCAGCGTGGAAGTGGACATCACCTGGAGGGGGCTGTGCTGGCTCCTCCTGCGGGCAGCTGGGAGGGTTGAATATTAAAAATTTAGTGGTAATTAAAAATATCAGCCCAATTTTGCCTGGAAATCCAAGTGTTTCAGGGTTTTGCTGAAATGCAGGTTCTCCCTGATTCCCAGCGAGAAAAGATCTCTTCCTACAGAAAGCTGAGACTTTTATCAATTGGTTTTTAAACCCACGTTTCCAGGGCATTGATGTGTTTCCTCAGCTATCTTCCAGGTAACTGTGGGTCTAAACAGGGACCGTGTCATTTATTCCCCAAAGGATCAGATCCTCCTCATGCCACTGCCCTTCCAACCCCCCGGTGATGCAACACGGGCACCTCCCAGCTGGGTTTATGGACAGGGCCCCATTCCAAAGGGGTAAATCTGTCCCACAAAAGCATTGGATTGATCCATCCCCCCAGATTTTTCCAGGAAATCAGAGCCCTTACGGGTGGGAATGAGGGGGAGCCTTGGCAGCGCCTTCCCCGCCACGACAGCTGAGCAGGGAGAGGGAGGATCCTTCCAACAGCTGGGGCAAACCCTGGGGCTTCTAGAGATTAGGACCATCCCTAAACGAGGCTCCAGGATTAGACAGAAGGTGGGGAGACTTCCCACTTGTGCCTTGTAAAGCTGAGATGCCAAAGGCCCAGGATAAAGGAAGAGCTCCTTTCATCCATGTGGGAAGGGCTCCCTGGAGCTGTGACATCGTCCCTGCTCGTCCCATAAACAGCTCTGGGGGTCCTGGGGGGCTCTTTGCACCCCAACAGGGCTGGGACAGCAGTGGGATGTCACACCTGGGTCACCACGGGTCACCAGCAGGTCCATGGGCAGGGGACAGAGCCAGGCTCCAGGGGATGGTCAGCAAGGAGAGTCACCCCCCCCCCCCCGTGCCAGCGTGGGAAGGGGACACCCAGGGCTGAGGGGGACACCCCGGACTGAGAGGGTTCCCAGCGCCGTCCCCAGTGGGACACATTCAGAGCCATCCAACAGGAGAGGGCAGGAACTGTCCCCTCCTGCCATCGGCCACATCCAGCTCTGAACACATCACAGGGAGCGTGAGTCCGTGGGAGACACCTCAAAGGGCCAGGAAAACACCCAGACCCCCTGGATTCCAGCAGGAGGGAGGTGCCCAAACCCTGATATTGGGGGCATATTGCTGGTGGTCACTGGAGATGATTCCTGAGCGGGGCTGTCCCCTCCTTTCAGCTGCTGCCCCTCCTGCCATCGGCCACACCCAGCTCTGAACATATCACACGGAGTGTGAGTCCATGGGAGACACCTCAAAGGGCCAGGAAAACACCCGGACCCCCCCGAATTCCAGCAGGAGGGAGGTGCCCAACCCCCTCTGTGTCCCTGGTTCCTGGTGACAGCTCCTGAGCGGGGCTGTCCCCTCCTTCAGCTGCTCCCCCTCCTGCCCCTGCCGGGCCCCTCTCCAGGGGGTTAAGTCAGACCTTTAGGGGAGTTAATTCAGACCTCCAAAGGGGTTAATTCAGACCTCCAGAGGGGTTAAGTCAGACCTCCAAACACCCCTGGAGCTCACATGGAAAACACCCAGTGGCCAACCACAAACAGCAGCGGGGATGGCTCCGTGCCCTGCCCGGCACCTCCCACCTCCCACCGCGCTGTCCCGTCCCCATTCCCAGCACCGGTTCCAGCGTTTCCAGCCTGGCCGTCACCGCGATATTCGCGGGCGCTGAGTCAGGGGCAGGGACAGTGGCAGGTGGGCCCCGGACAGGGTTTCCATTGGTCTGTCACACACAAGTGGACTCTTACTTCACCCCCCAGCAATGACCGCGGGCAGGGGCTGCCGGGCCGGGCTGGGACGATCCCAATCCCGGACCCAACGCCCCCCCGGCTGCGGGGCCACCCCCCCGGGTTGGAGTTCCATCGAGTGTTGTCTCTAAAATGTCCATGCTGAAGGACATCTCCTGCCTGATGGGCTTCCCTTGGCTGGCCCAGGCTCCTGCTCCAGGGGAATCCCTGGATCCATCCCGGCTCACACCAGCAGCGCTCACGGTCACCAAGTGGATTCACTGGATCTTCTTTCCTCGTGGAAAGGGCTGCCCAGCCCTGGCACAGCTGCCCATGGCAGT